TTATGTGTTTGGGAGGGAAATGGGATGCTTAGGCATTGGTCAGTCAGAGATTTAGGAGGGTTGTGTTTATCTGGAGAGTTGGTGTGTGGTGATTTTGTTTTAAAAGGTACTTATATTAATGGAGCTCCCTTCCTCCCTCCTTCTGCTTCATCCTTCCTCCCTCTACTTTATCCTTTCTGAGCTGCCCTCTTTGAAATCATGTTAGCATCCTTATAGGCAGGCTTGGGCCAGTGTTGATGATGTTTCCATTAGCTTGACGATGTAATGAAAAAATATACTTCTAATTGTAAACTTACAACAGCAACTGAGAAGGAAGCAGCGGAAACAGCATGTTGTAGCTAGGAGACCTTTTCTTGGTGAGAGCTTGCAAGAGGAGTGCTGTAGTCCAGAGCCTTGCTAGTTGGGCAGAGGACGCTTTAGAAAAGGGGCATCTTGTGCTGCTGACCTGATTTCATTTTAGAAAAGGGAAAGACTTAAAGTAGGGTAGATGTTCAAGGCAGTGTTTGCACTTCTGACTGTCAGTCCGGTTCTTGACTGTTGAGTGTTTCAGCAGCAGAAAGTATTTTTAAGTGGGAAAAACAAGCTTGTGAAAGCTCTCAAACTGAAGACTGAATATTGCTAACTTGCTTTCTTAAAATTATGCAAATTTCTAATGTATTTTTAAGTGGTGAAAGCAATAGGATGGACTAATGACCTGCAAAGTTGCACTTAAATCATTGCTCAAAAGCTTTTCAGTTTTTAGCATTGAGAGCTATAGAAGAGCCTCAAAAAAATGACCTTGTGTCCTTTTCAGATTTTTTTCCCCTTGTTATTTCAATAGTCCTCTTTAAACTTCTCTGCATTTTAATTACAAGATTTCACAAAGTGTACATGATGGTCAGAAGTGACCAATGGTTCGATAGACGATGGAGTATTGGGGTCTGAGACTTAAAAAAAGCTATCATGAAAAGCAATTTAAACGGATGAAGGGTGGGGAAGCTGAGTCACAAAGGCCCTGGTGTGGAGCTGGCAGAGATCTCTTCTGGACTTGGGACTGGAAGTCATTCCTTCAGTTAGTACACTTTCTTCTCTTCTACTGTTACAAAAATAGACAAAAGCTGTGAAAAGCTTGGTGGCTTATTTTAGAGAAGTAGTGGGGATTTTGGGATAGAGAACCTTACATGAACCTCCTTCTTCCTGAGTGTGCTGCATTTAGTGCTTTTGTCCAAGTTGTGGAGGATAACTAAGCTTAGAGACCAGACCCCAGCTCCCAGTGGCGCATGACACATCACTGCTAGAAAGGCAGGAGGCAATTTCTACTGAATGCAGCCTTTTGAGAGGAGCTGCTGCTGTGCATTGGGGCCAAAAACAATTTTTGATGATGTTTTGATGTTTTCACACATCCAGCCACCTGTAATTCATCCAGCCACCACCTGTAATAATTTTGCTGTTAACTTTCCTTCCTATGCTGAAGCTCGATATAAAGAAAGTCGCCAGAGGTTAAATGTGACTCGTAGAGTGGTTTTGAGGTCAGCATGTTAAAAGCTGTATGTGTTCTGCCCTGCAGCAGGGGCATAACTTCTGCAGGCAGGAATGGGGAGGAATAACAGGGTTTCCAGGAGGCAGTTTGTTTCAGAGAAGCTATCTCCTTTCTTGATTTTCCCCACTCTTTGTAAAATCCTACTGTGTGATGTGACTGAAGTCCAATGGGTTTTCTTCTTATGCTGCCTATATGCATGAATATTCAATTATTAAACATGAACAGCATGCTTCTGCCCTGCCCCTTCAGCCTTACCCCCCACTACCTATACAGTGGGTCCAGCGACAAAGAAACAGTTTTCATCCCTTGAGAGCTCTTTGGTACATGTGAAATTTCTCAAACTGGGCTAAAACAATTACTCACTTTTTATGTATATTGTTATGTATCTTGTTATTAATTAACCAATCTTCAGAGACTGAGGCTAAGCTACAACTTTCTTCATGGAAGACTTGGTGTATCATCTGTTTGAAGAAGATAGTGCTTGAATTTTTCACACCATGTGTATTGTGAGGGATATTTTGCTGAAACATGGGCTGTAATGCCTGACCCCTCCTTTTGAAGGGATGCTGCATCCCCAAAGCTGCTTCTGCAAGTTCTTGTCAGTCTCTTGCTTAAATAAAATTTAAGTGTTAAGTATGTTAATGAATGGGATCATCACCATGTGCAGGCATTTCACGGTATACTTTCTTGCAAAGGTAATGTGTGCTATAAGCCGCATATGGCCAGGTTTTGGTGCTTTTAATCAGGCTGAGCAATGTCTTCATTTGTGAACACTTCTGTTAAATAAAGTGAGATTGCTCATAGGGTAGGTGCAGTGCAGCATGAATAAGAGTTTCTGGAGTTGGCCCTTATTTATGAGTCAGTTGAGGATTTCTGCCTGGTATTAACATCTATGGATGCTGTAGATGCATGGCACATACACCAGAGAATCAATGTGTTCCTGCCTCATCAACATTTGTGGTAGCTGGAACCTTGCATCCTTTAAATGTGTCACCAGGGAGGCATTTTGTGTCATGACCTCTAAAAGACTTCCTCATGGTAAACACCAGTAAGAATTGGGAGAAATTCTGGTGCCACCTTTTATAAACACATATGCTGTAAATGTATGATTAACATTTAAGCTAATCGGCTATTTTTAGATATTGCTTAGAGATACTGTGGTTCATACGGGAAATCTTCATTTCATAGTGCAGAACTGAGATGCAATGACTGGTTAACAAATCCAGATAGTGCTTCTGCGACAGTCTGATCAGGGAATTGGGAAATCTCTGAGCCCATCGGCTGGGCAGAGTTGCTGACCTGGAGAAGCTGTGTCCTGCTTCTGGCTGCCTGATAACCATAATTGTGTCAGTCTTTGCATGCCTTGATACTGAGTTGAGCCTAGTATTAATGAGTTACTGGATTCACTATTGTTTTGACCCAGATAATTGTACTAGTGATTTGTATTTGTTATTATACTGTTGGGGTGAGATAAATTGCTTATCCCTAAAGCTGTTGGTCTGGTGTCTTTTACCAGATCCCGAACCTGTAACTCAGTTGGGCTGCCTTAAGCCCCTACGAGTGCTTATAAAGATTACGCAGCCACAGCTGGAAGAACTTTGCATCATAGCAGAGTTATCTAGGCTTTACCTTAAATGAGAGTTACATCTGATGGGAAGAAGAAATTAGTTGAGCAGCAAAATGAGACATTAGAAAGCTCTTTGAAACAGTGTTTCTGTCCCAATAAAAGTAATTATTGTGCATTAGACAGTAATGGCTCAAGTGTTCAGCAGTGACATTGCTCAGCTGAGTAACAGCTTGTTATCCTTCTGAGGATAATGTGTGCCTTGTGATCTACAGATACATCAGCCCTTGCTCCACAGACTGCAAGTTTGGTGCTTCTCAGAGGGGTTTAGCACTTTGGCATATAAATCATTTTTCTGTAGCATATCTTGAGTGTTTCTCCTAAGCACTGAACTGTAATAAAATTGATGGACACTGTGCTTTTAATAAAGCTGAATAAAGTGGTATATGATTGCTATTCATTTCTATTCAATTGACTAGAGACTGACAAGAACTATGCAGCATTTAAACTACTAAAAAGCAGGAGACTTAACTCCATTTTCGGTGTGGACAATCAAATTGAATTGATTGTACTTCAGAGAGTAGAGCTGGCCTTTTTCAAGTGGTTTGTATTTTGCAGACATGTTTTCTGCTGGGGTTGTTTTCTACTTTTCCATCCACTTTAGGGAACGGATATAATCTTACTCAGTTGGGAGGGAACTGAAAAGATCACTAAGAACAAAATTTACCTTGGATTGAAAAAATGGAAGTTGAATTGGAGGTGTGGGAAGTGCCAGTGGAAGAACCTGATGCTGCATTCCATCTCCTTGGAATTTCAGCAATTCAGGGTTTTTTTTTTAAGGATCTGGCATGAAAACAGCACTTTCATTTTGTTATTCAGCCTCATGGTGAATGGCTTGTGTAGGGCACATACCATTGAATAACTTACCAGAGGGGACTTTAATTTGATTGTCCTTTTTAGACAGGCTTTTGGTGGTGGAGAGAGTGAATAATGGCTGATCGTTATTTTCCTTTGTTTCAAGCATGTTCATGGTGCACTCCACTGCTGTACAGTGTGTGTATTTCACTTTAAGCTTGCAAAGATAACCTTGCATTCTGCACAGCCAAACACAGCTGTACATCAATATTGTATTTTTGATACCTGTCCTTACTATAACTCTGTGTTCTCTTTTTCTGAAGGGTTAGCAAGCAGAAGTGTTTCTGCAGGGAGAGGGACTCATTGGAAAGGAGCTTTTTCCTTTGTGAAGGCTATCATTAGTGTTGACTACTAAACTTAAGCTAAGGTACCTGCGTGTGTTAAATTAGCAATTTTCCCCCTATAAGTAGTTTAATTGTTTATAAGCAGAGCTGCTCTCCCAGTTCTTCTGATTTTCCTACTGAGCGCTTTTAATGAGTTTCTCTTAACTTAAATACTTCTATAAAAAAAAAAAAAGCACTAAAAAAAAAAATCCAGGACCCTAAAATACTAGCTGAAGGTGCTGAGAAGAGGAGATAGTATTACACCTTAAATGTTGAAAAGTTCCCAGGAAAGAGCTCCTTTCCATAAAGGAAAGTTTATGTTTTGGGGCTTTTTTCCCAACATCCAACCTTTTGACAGCAGCAAAGAACCTGAAATTTTGGGTGTTGGGGTCGGTTTTTTTCTTTGTTTTAAATAAAAATGTCTTAATCTGCTTATTAGGAATGACTAAAGGGAAATAAACTCCTATAATAGGAAGCGGGAAAAGAGAGGGTATGGAGGCAATCACAGGAATTCCTTGGTACATACTTGAGAGAACTGGAGGTTATAACCAGCTGCCAGATGGAGATACATCCATAGCGGAAACAACATTTTTTGTCGTTCTTTAAAAACTAAATGGGCTTCACTGTCCCAGCAAGGCAACTTGAGAGAGCTGTGCCCTTAACTACTTTTGTTTCGTAGCCTTTGAAGATGCTGACAGTGCTGTGGATGATCGAGATAGTGACTATCGCAGTGAGACGAGTAACAGCATTCCTCCTCCGTACCACACGACTGCACAGCCCAATGCCTCTGTGCACCAGTTCACTGTACCGTCACGCCTGCAGCAGCAAGGGGTCTTGCGGGAATCCTGTGCTGACTCCCTACAAAATTATGATCTGGATTATCGGGAGCAGGTGGCCATCAGGTAGGTGCTGACTTCTGAGTAGCTCTGCTTTTCCCGTTGATTTTCCACAGCAGACCCTGAAGGTGCCATGCTAGCAGAATAGGGCAAGTCAAGGGCTCTGAAAGGCTTCTCATAGAAAGATGCAGTTGCATGTTTTGTTAACACTGGGACTGAGCTGTGAACCAGGAAAAACCCACGAAGCTATGTGTTACACCAGATCCGGCAGTTTAGTGAGTTACCTTTTAAAGATATGCTCAACTCTGAGGTCATTTATTCTTGGTTCTATTTTCACCTTACCTTTTGAAGGCCGGAGCACTGTGTAATTGATTGGGTGGGTGTGCCTCCCAGGCCAGTGAAACATGGTCTAGCAGAGTTATGCTGTTAGGAGTTTCTTTCTTGGGGCAGATTTATTTTCTGTTTCAGATTAGCTCCTGCTCTTCTATTAGCTCTGCCAAAATAGCATATTCAAGAAGAAAGTCTGTAATCAATTAGGTTTTTTTTTTTTCTGTTATCATGTAGCACTGTTTAATAGTGTGTTTTCTCTCTTGGTTTCCTTTGAGCTGTATGAAACATAGTCTACTTGCTCTAAATTAGCTTTTGACCATAAATCAGTAGTTTCACAACTGCTTTTATCTTTTTTAAGTATTAAACATAACAGCATTAACTTACCAGCATCAATAGCTGTGAACTAGAGCTGGTTGTGCTGGGAATTGTACAAACTTTACAAAACCGCTGTTCCAAATAAAGGATGAGTTAAGTGTAAGGGGAAAGCAGAAAAACTTGGACAGTGCTGGTCAGCTTGGGAAGAGTGGGTGTGTAGAACAGGCCATGCTGCTACTTCTGCCTTCAGTGTGGAAGGAAGAGGCAGTTGCTTAAACTCTGTCACAGTTAGAGGTGCAGGGTTTTATATGTATTATAACTGACTTGTTCTACCTCATCTCCCTTGGTAAGAATTTTTCTTGTTTCCTGAAGCCTGAACCTGAATTTAATTGGTGTGTGGCAAGGGTGTATGGCAGAGGCTAAATTTTACTCTTTTTGCCTTATGGTCTTTAATGCTAAAAGCTGAAGTTTAATGGTAACACTTAATGTTGTTACTGTTATTGAGATTTTGAGCAGCAGAGGCAAATGCGTCAACAAAATGCATTTACTGCAGTGTGAAATGTCATTCTTGGCACTGTTTTCCTAGTCCATTAAGTATCTTATATAAGCAAGTTACTCCCTTTCCCATGCTATTCTTACTGCTGGTTTGCAGTGGTAAAATTGCTGAAGATCTTACTGAGAGTCTGGGAATATGAGCTGAAGCTTTTGCTTTATGGAAGAGCCAAGCTGAACAGTAGTATTGGGCCCCCAGCCTGGGGAAGCCAGTGGTGGCTGGGTGTTCTTGCAGTTATGTGACTTCTTGGGGTGGTGTTCACAATACAAGTAATCTTTTATGGCTCACCATAAAAGGCGGGGGCTTGGAGAGGGGGGTTGTGAACTTTTAGCTGTATCTAATGAATAAATGTGTTTTTAAGACCTTCCAAAGAAGCACTTCTGGTTTGAATTGTTAAAGAACACCAAGATGGAATATGTCTATTTTTTCTGGTTTCCTGAAGGTATTGATATGAAATCAATCTGGACTGATAAAGTTTACTTAAAAACTAAGAGATTTGTAGTCTGCTCAGGTCTGAAATTACTTTCACTCCAGGAAGGAGTGAAAGTAATTGATTCCCTCTGAGCATTCCTGTTTCCCTGTGCATTTTCCACATGCCCAGCAAGATTTTTTGCTACATATTTAATCTTAAAACTTAGAAAATGCAAATAAGCTTTCCAAAAAAGCTACGTGGGATTCTCTTTCTTACCAGAAAGGTATTTCTAATGAGAGCTGGCTGGGTAGGTCTTAAATATTTTCAAAACTCAGTTGTAGCTGAGTATTGCAAAATCAAATCGTGTTTGACTTTTGCTCCTAGCAGCTCTAAGTGCTGTGGACCAGGCAGCCACCTGATGAAATCAGTATTCCTGGCAGATCACAGTTGGCGATTGCTGAGGAAATGACAGCTTGTAGGAGCTTGTCCTGGGCAGACCCAGAGGAACCAGGCAAGGTTCTGCTAGAATTGGGCAAAAAGTTGTCTATGCCGAAATGCTTCAATTGAAATTGGCTGTACTAACACCTGGGTTTGACCCAGAGAACCAGACAAGGTTCTGCTAGAACCTGTCTTGAATTGGGCAAAAAGTTGTCTATGCCGAAATGCTTCAATTGAAATTGGCTGTACTAACACCTGGGTTTTTTTTTCTAACAACATTTGGGTTTGGTTGGAGAACTTCTGATTCTCTTTATCAGCTGTTACACGTGATTGTGTTCTTTTGATAGAAGGACATGTATTTTATTCCCCCCTCTCCTAAGAATAACAAGTAGTATTCTTATTTGTCCTTGGACTGTGTTTTGCTGCCAACAGCCAGTTTGACTTCAGAATAGCACACATCTTCCCCTTGGATTTTTTTTTTAAGCACAGACTTTTCTTTGCAATGTTCATTTTGTGTAACCATGTGTCCTCCTTGTCTCCCTGCTCCTGCTCTATTTACTTCCAAGGCGATATGATAGCATAGATTCCACTGTGAGTGGCCGAACTGACCTAGAGTCCGCATCTGAGTCTAGTCAAATGACTAGCCGCCAGTGCTCGCTAGAGAGCAGGCGCTCTCTAGATCTGACTGATAGGTGGGTTAACCTCTTTGCAGCCTCTGTGCCTGTCTCCTTGCTGTTGCTGCTGTGAAGTGGTCTTGTGATACATTTCAGCTGATACTCGCTGTTTGCCTTGGCTGTGTTTTGGATCTATGGCAGTTTAATGCTGGGCTGATGTTGTCATCTTTTTCTCCTGTCAGAGAGACTTCTTGTCATTGCTTTATTTCTAGTAAAAGGAATGCTTTGTAGAATAGCAAGGGAAACACTTGCGGGGTGGGGGGAGGAGGTCAATTAGAAAGAAAAGTAATTTCTTTTATGCCTAAATTAGTCAATTGTTGGTTCAGCATTTACAGCTAATGGCTCTTCAGGCATTCGGATAGCTCCCCTTGCTTTCAGCTGAGATTTGGAAGGGCTTGATCCAGTAACTATGGTGGCCCTGGGAGTCTTTTAAATTTCATTAGCTTTTTTAAGAAAATTATTTCAATTACCAGCTTAAAATTGCAAGCAAGAAGTGTAGTAAGTGTTCTAAACTGTGTACAACAGGGCTCATTTAAAGTAATGAGTATCTTTCCAATCAGTGTAAGTTAGCTAATACTGGGGAAATGAAGCACTAAACCAGCAGTAGTGAAAATGCAATGACCTATTTCTCTTTCAGGGCTATCTCATCAGTATCCTATATTGGGGTGCCCCAGGCAACTCTCAAGGTGAAGACTCTTGTATTAGCAGTATCCATACAAAGCCCGTGTGCCCTTTCCCTTCTCTTGCTCTGGTCTTACGGGGTCAGGGCATGCGTGCCCTCATGCTCCGTAGTTCTCAACAATGAATGATGTGAGACAAAGCTGCAGTGCTTTGATGAGCATTTTGATTTTTTTTTTTCATACACTTTCTACCTGTTTATGTAGGTTGGCAGGAATTCTTCTTGTGAGATTCAGATAAAGAGGAAGCTTTGTTGCTACTAGCCTTTGGGTTGCTGAGCAATTGAGATAATTCTTCTGATCAAGGGCTAGGGATTAATCCCAAAATCCCAAGGGTCGTTTACTTGGGTTTCTAGGAAGCTTCAAGTCGTTTGATAGTAAAACACTAGCTGCTTTAATCCATTCTCCCACAATGGGTAAGTATAGATTGCTGGATCTGTTTAGATGCATTATAAAAGGGAAGTACAGATCCTGAAAAACATCTCAGGCTTATGATGGGCTAATATCCATCGCCAATGTTTTGGTTTGCCTTCTGATCCAGTAACAGCTCTGTGGATCTTCATTTTGGGTTGGTAGGAGCCCCCTGAAGGCATCAGCTGCAGTAAGAGCCCTCCCAGCAAAGAGCGGTGGTGGAGTAGCCGGAACTCCTTGTGTTGCCAGTATGCACAGTTTGCGTTTTGTCCCCTATCCCCGCTTCCCTGGAGTCCAATGACTCCTGAGTCTTTGCATGCAGTCTCTGCTCTGTAGCCACCCTCGGGAGAAACAAAGTGCCTGTGTGCTTTATGAATACTGCTAAAATAAAGTCTGCAGCCTAGAGTGACCGAAATGCATGCATAGCATAGTGGAATGGTGTGCGTGGGCACTGTATCTCAAAGTAGTCCTGTTACTGTAATAAGTGACTTTTTTCAGCATGCCTAAAAAAGTAACAGCAGAGTACTGGTACAGCCAAGGCTGTGTGCCCTCACTTGATCACAAAAAGCTGTTCTCCTTCAAACACGCGTTTCTAAATTTTGTGCAACTGTAACCGGTGGAATATCATAACCCATGCTGCTTTTTTTGACTATTTGATTGAAATGTAATGGTGGTAGATTGGCAGGTTTTCAGTTTTGTTATCTCTGGATGTTTCTCATTTTACTTTTCCTTTATTTAACACATGTTTTTTCATTACTATTTTTTCTGTCCTTTCTAGAGCTTTTTTTAAAACTGTTATTTTCCCCTTCCTACTTTTTTTGTTGCCTCTCTTCCTTTCCCTCCCACCCCCTTTGTTTCTCATCTTAGACAAGGATCTCTAGCTAGAAATGAAAGAGTCAGGATCATTCCATTTAACTCTGAAGATGGAGAAGAAGAACAGGAGAGTAACTATGAAGAGCTAGGAAAACTGCTAATAGAGGAATTCTTAGAAAAGAGTCATAAAAATAGAAGCTGGCAGGAAACAAACAGAAAGATGCAAACTCTCTCAAAAAGAGAGCATTTCAATCACTGTGAAAGATCAAGGTGCTGCCAAAATGTGTGTGTGGAGTCAGGGTCTGTAGATGTCCCTAGGTATCCTCAGGAATATGATACAATAGATAGGAGAAGGAAAAGGAAGCTGCGATACAATTCTGAAGAGAGTGAACAAATAAGTCTGCAAAATAATGAAGGTCTGCAGTTTCCTGGGGAGAAGATGG